TGATGATGAAATGACTCATTTAGTTCAGGTCAATGGGACCACATTAGCAGTGTGTCCCCAGGACAGTCATTCTGTCAGCAGACCCCACCAATCACTAAGCATGAGAACATTGATCCATTGGTTGACTGATGAGGAGGCATTTCAGCCAGACCGTCCTCCTCCAGCAGTGAGAAACCATTGATTTCAAGCAGATTGTCACTCTTGCCATGCCATCCTGACAATTGATCCACTAACGAGGACTATCCAAGTCCACATGAAACTTTGCTAGGGGCTAGCTTGTTTACTCCTGTGCTAACCATAGGTGCCAAAACCCAAGTGTAAATGCTGTGTGCCTGTATGTGTGAACATTCAATTGGAAGAGTCAAAAGAAACAGCTAGAAACAGAGAAGTGTAGACTGTGGGAGGAAGTTGAGTGTGTGTCACCCTGTTCAGCATGTGGGTTTCATTTGTTTAGAGTGCAATTTATGCTTCCCATTGTCGTTAAGGCGCGTTATTAAAAATCAAATGCAAATTTGGTCAGCCAAGATTCAACTCTGGCTTGATTCTCAGATCCATCCTGAAGAAAATGTTTGGTTACTTCCTGACCCGCTTCATGAAAGCACAAGTCTCAGATAAAACTTGACTTACAATGCGGCAGCATGGCTGGCAAGTGAAACTGTTGACCAAAAAAAATGATAAATCAAAACTGTAAGCTATTTGTTTCCTTCCTAAATCTGAGACAAATCAAGAACTGACCAGCTGTTACTCTGAATACTGACAAGGAGGGCTAAACAGTTGATAGTTCAAATTTTAAAAGAGTAATTTCCAGTTGGGGTTTCCTCTGACAATAAAAACTGAAGTCAGTCTAAGATTAACCATGGATCTATATGGTTGCCCTTGAAGAACACAGAGGACAACATAAACACCTACTAAGTTAAGACTAGTGAGGTGAACTAGCAGCTTGCTGTGCAGTAAGCATGCAAGCTTTAATGAACACGTGTTTTTTCTTTGGTGTCAACCTTTAAAAAGGACCACATAAGGGTGAACCATTATCACTGACTATAACCAGGACAACACTGAGGAACTGGACAGTCAGAATATTTCCTTTCGCTCCTCTTAAGTCTGAAGAATGTTTTTTTGTAACAGCAACTTTACATATTATATCATCAGAGCTTAACTGGCCCGCAAAACGGGGCATCATAGAAGTGGCTTTCAACCTAAACATTGTAGGTAAACTTTAGTGGCAAATCTCGAGGTACACAACATACACGAGGCACCTGGCAGTAGCTTTAACATTATGGGTGTTGTTTAACTGTAGGTAATTGATTTATCATTTGTTATCTTGTAATTGTCTTACCTTTATTTTCTCAGTCATGGTGAATTTCAGCTCGTGGACGAAAGGGTTTCTACCCACTCTGGAGGGACGACTGTTTGATGACTTCATTGCTGACGACCTGACACCAAAATAAAATGAAGATAGACAAGTCGTTTCCAAAATGTCCCGTAACGTTAGTTGAGCTCGTCGTTTTGTGGCGTAGAAGTGTCTTCTTGTCGGACGGGAGGAGAGTGATGCTGGGCGTGGAGGAGGCGCCAAGCTAGCTGCTAGCCAGATGAAACGACGTGACTTCCGGTTAATCTTCAAAATAAGGTCCCTTTGGCCGTGACAGGCATTAAGAAAATGCTGCCTATTTTTAATGTTAAAATGTGTTTTAGTGTTTGCAAGCCCAAATATGTACCACATGCGGTGAAAAATTACAATGGCAAAATCAGTTCTTTGAAAAGATGAATGCAAGTTTGAGTGTGTGCCTCTCTAAAGCCTGTTCAGTCTATGCTCAGTGCTTTAACAAAAGCGCTGAGCATGTTTACAATCCTTAATTTGCTTTGTCTTTAAAATGTGTAATACAATTTCTCCAAAATGTGTCAATGGAGCATGTGTGCATCTTCTGAAACATACATTACGCTTATAGTATCCTCAAACGTTAGCAAATCCTGCAAGCACCATCGTGTTCAAGCTTTTATTTTGAAAGCCATGACCAGATCTGAAAAGCTGGTGGCACGTGCACACCTACACACACGCAGGCACGCACACGCCCTCCTCACTTACTGTACAGGTGCTGGTCATATCATTAGAATATCATCAAAAAGTTGATGTATTTCAGTAATTCCATTCAAAAAGTAAAACTTGGATATTATATTCATTCATTACACACAGACTGATATATTTCAAATGTTTATTTAATTGTGATGATTAAAACTGACAACTAATGAAAATCCCAAATTCAGTATCTCAGTATCAAAATTTGAATATTACTTAAGACCAATACAAAAAAAGGATTTTTAGAAATGTTGGCCAACTGAAAAGTATGAACATGAAAAGTATGAACATGTACAGCACTCAATACTTAGTTGGGGCTCCTTTTGCCTGAATTACTGCAGCAATACGGCGTGGCATGGAGTCTATCAGTCTGTGGCACTGCTCAGGTGTTATGAGAGCCCAGGTTGCTCTGATAGTGGCCTTCAGCTCTTCTGCATTGTTGGGTCTGGCCTATCGCATCTTCCTCTTCACAATACCCCATAGATTTTCTATAGGGGTAAGATCAGGCGAGTTTGCTGGCCAATTAAGAACAGGGATACCATGGTCCTTATACCAGGTACTGGTAACTGGCACTGTGTGCAGGTGCCGATTATTGTTGGAAAATGAAATCTGCATCTCCATAAAGTTGGTCAGCAGCAGGAAGCATGAAGTGCTCTAAAACGTCCTGGTAGACGGCTGCGTTGACCTTGGACCTCAGAAAACACAGTGGACCAACACCAGCAGATGACATGGCACCCCAAACCATCACTGACTGTGGAAACTTTACCCTGGACTTCAAGCAACGTGGATTCTGTGCCTCTCCTCTCTTCCTCCAGACTCTGGGACCTTGATTTCCAAAGGAAATGCAAAATTTACTTTCATCAGAGAACATAACTTTGGACCACTCATCAGCAGTCCAGTCCTTTTTGTCTTTAGCCCAGGCGAGACGCTTCTGACGCTGTGTCTTGTTCAAGAGTGGCTTGACACAAGGAATGCGACAGCTGAAACCCATGTCTTGCATACGTCTGTGCGTGGTGGTTCTTGAAGCACTGACTCCAGCTACAGCTGAATCTCCCCCACATTTTTGAATGGGTTTTGTTTCACAATCCTCTCCAGAGTGCGGTTATCCCTATTGTTTATACACTTCTTTTTATCCTACCACATCTTTTCCTTCCCTTCGCCTCTCTATTAATGTGCTTGGACACAGAGCTCTGTGAACAGCCAGCCTCTTTAGCAATGACCTTTTGTGTCTTGCCCTCCTTGTGCAAGGTGTCAATGGTCATCTTTTGGACAGCTGTCAAGTCAGCAGACTTCCCCATGATTGTGTAGCCTACAGAACTAAACTGAGAGACCATTTAAAGGCCTTTGCAGATGTTTTGAGTTAATTAGCTGATTAGAGTGTGGCACCAGGTGTCTTCAATATTGAACCTTTTCACAATGTTCTAATTTTCTGAGATACTGATTTTGGGGTTTTCATTAGTTGTCAGTTATGATCATCAAAATTAAAAGGAATGAACACTGGAAATATATCAGTCTGTGTGGAATGAATATATACATTATACAAGTTTCACTTTTTGAATGTAATTACTGAAATAAATCAATTTGATGATATTCTAATTATATGACCAGCCCTAGAAATAGTGCAATGTGATTTTAATAAGTGCAGAATTTGTACAGCCTGGGTGAACACTCTTTCATAACAACATGCACCTTTTTAAGAGAAGTGGACATTTGAAATCTTTAAGCCACTCGTCTGAGCAACAATTACAGGACACACAGAAGAACTGAAGAAGATGATAAGAACTGTGACTTTGGAATGTGTGTTAAGATGTTTGGGGTGATATTTCTTAAGTGAGATTCAGTATTTAAAGTAGAGTTTCCTCCTTCATTTGATCCACCCATCAATTTCTGCCATTTCTTTTATGTCTGGATGACTGCAACTGCCCTTTTAAAAAAGACTTTGTTGTGTCTCAAAGCAACACATAGCAGATCTACATTGTACCCTGAGGCTGACTGGTTTATTATGTGCTCATGTTGGTATTGTAAACCTCTATAGACCACTACAAATATAAAGTAGTTGCTCACTAACCCACAGTTGGGATCAGTCATTATCACAGGTGAACTCATACAAAAGAATAATCCTATTTACTGACACTTCTTCAGGGTTTATTGTAACATCTCTAGAGGAAAACAGGAAGCTTCCAGCATGTAAGAGTGTATTTCAGTTAAATGTCATATAAATATATTGGCAAATATTTGATAATCAATTCCATTGCGGCTGTCATCAGGTGTTTTATTGTTCCTTGTTACTCCATCTGTAAATATAACATTAGGAATACCTTTCAAGTGGGGCGGCAGTAGGCTCAGTGTTTGCTGCCAAACACCTTTCAAACCAGTCATGGCGGTACAGTTTGCATGTTACAGTCTGTCAATACTGTTGTGTGCATTGTGCTTTCTGCGTCTTTCAGTAATAATACAAGGTGGCTATAGATTTTAGGTTGAACTGCTAGTTTCTGACATGGCCACAAAACCGTGTAAGTCTGATAACAGCCAACTTTCAACACAAGATTCTGCACAAGTTTTGTAAGTCAACATATGCAGGAACTGCGGTGTGATAGGGGCAACTTACAATAGGTTAAAGCTTTTTAGAAAAAGGGAGTCAAAGTGACCGTGTGTATTACATGGCAGGTTGGATCCTGGCTTCTTGTAGCAGACTTTGGCTCCCTCATGTGGAAGAACGATGGCAGGGAATGTGACATTTAACAAACTAATGTTGGTGTGATTTCATATTAAATCCAAGTTAACCATTTTACCCCATGGACAAGAACAAAACAATTGCTCTAATAATTTTAGATAACTGAGGATCCAATTTGTAGAATGTTTTTGCCTGTAATCGGATGACATCAATCATCCGTAACGTCAATAATAATTGATCTATGCAATGGTCTATAGAGAAACAGATAAATGCCTTTTTATTTCCATTTCACCTTGTACTCTTGCATAAACCTATAATTTACACTATATGTTCAAAGCATTGCTGACTATGCCTTTATCTACTTAAGAGAAATGTATTATGCTCAAGTTTAACTTAATTTAAACTAAACCTCATTTTAGCTTTACTATATAAAATGCTGTGGAAGAACATGACGTCAACAGAACATTATAACTCATAATGTGTCATGAGCTTTGCATATTCTTAAGCCAAACCATTTATTTTTGCAGCACAGTTCTTCTAAATGTCTACAATCTTAAAACAATCTTCTCAATACTCCTTCAACACTTTAGCCCTGCCTCTGTTTGTGTCTCGGATTTGTCTTGCAGAACACAAACAAACGTCCCCTCCGTCGCACAAAGAAACAGTCTTTGCAGCGCCTCTTCAGGGCAGACTTGGTTTTCATCCCTGCAGAGGGCTGGATGCAGGGAAGATACTGGCACTGTCCCAACAGAGGTGGTCCACACTGAGCAGTGGAGCCAGACGAGGGGGGCTGGATGGAGCTGACTCTGGTTGATGACAGGAACAGTGTGCGGGGAGCTGTGGTGAGGGTGCAGAGACATCTGTAAGCACTAGCTGCTGGTGAGGAGAAGGTCATATTTAACCGGCTCATCTGGGCCACTTGGTGAGTCAGGGAGGTAGCCAGGTGCTTCAAAAGGAGGGGCACCATGGTGTCAAAGGCTGCTGAGAAGGGGGGAGAAGGGGTAATTCATAATCAGTTACAGTGACAAAAATGTAGATATCACAATTTTATGACATGACATATGATTTCTGGAATAGATTACAGTACCTGCTACCCATCACTTTAAAATAATAATTTTTCCTCAGACGTTAATCTGAAGATTAACTATTGCATTAAAGTAAAATTAATAATACCCAATATGTTTCCATTATCAATATGAATATCATAGGTTCCATTATACTGTAACGTTAGTCAATTCTCAGCGATTTTATGAATCATTCATATGGAGCTACATCATATAAACTAATATAGGCATATACCTAAAACAGTGGACAATCTAATACAAAGGAACATGGAGCATTTCAGAACGTACACGGACCACGATCGTTTTTTTAAGTGACATATTTAAATGCTGCAAATACAACCCGGTGCCACCTTTGCAATGCAACGTGCCAAGGAGACGAGCATGTAAAGAGTTGACCTGCTATCGCCAAAGCCAGACATAAAAACGGCAGACATATTAGTCCCCGACATGACACGGTCGTACCATCAAACCAAAGAATGTAAACAAACCTTTCAGAAATTCTTTGAAGGTTTATAACAGGGACTAACCCCCTGAATGTTGCGTTTTATCGCCACAACACGACCGCTAATACTGCAACGTTACTTGCTTGCGAGGGTACATCTGCTTCCGTTTTTAGTGACGGTTGTAATGCCCTCAATTTAGCCTTTCAGCTGGTTTACCTCTCTGGCTTTGGACAAATCTTGCCTCCATCAGTATCAGCAGATCCTAATTCCAAACTGGCCTTAATGCTAATTGTCATTCTCTTTTACATATACCTAAATATAAGGGCCTAATTGTAAAGCTAGTTAGTGAAGGTAACAGTAGCGAAATACTTTGAACCTGAGAGGCAAAACTCGGGGCAAATATATTTTTCTTTCCAAGCGTACTCCGCAAGGCATCCTGGGAAAACAGGCTGTTGTAAACATGGCGGCCGCAGTGGGTAGACTTCTGTCCTTCAGTAAAAATGCTAAGGGGCTTGTTTCACCTTTGAGGCTGTCTGTTGTACCTGTTCACCGCTACAGCTTAGAGATTTCCGCTACCGGGGAGCCTGTTACTCACACCGGTCAGGTAAGCTTGAAAGTGATTGTCTTCGAGTATTGGTAGTACAAATGTGTCCCACCGTTAGCTTAGCTTATCCTATCTTAGCCTTGTGTTAATGAGGCTAGTAGGTCCATTATGTCCATTATCGGACAACGCTACACATGACTTAGCTCTTAACGTTTTCCTTTAACATTTGAATTTTGGTTGTAACACAGCTGATATCCAGATATTTTTGTTTGAAAAGACATGTGATGCATTTGCTCCTTTTCTCAACTAGCAACACATAGTGCCCCATAACGGACCCCCACATCAGTAGCAAAATAGGATTTATGTGCTGTTGTTTCCTTCTACTCGAATTCATAACGTTAGTTTTCTGCTCTTAGGTGTTTGACGAAAATGATCCCAGAAGAGCCAGATTCGTTGGCAGACAGAAAGAGGTAAGTAGTAACTAACAATCCAGCTTAATAAACCTCAGATTGCAGCCATACAAAATTTGTCATACAAATATTTAAATCTTGTAAAACATCGACATCTTGTTCTCAAATCCATTATATTCATAATTTCACCATACACTCAAAAATCCAATTTTATTCAGTCAACTTTATTGATCCCAATAGGGGCAACTACACTGAACAACATTATAAACTGTAACACAAATCTGTCAAAATCTGTATTAGTGAGCGCTTCTCCCTTACTGTCAGACCAAAAGCGAAGTGAGCATTCGGGGCGGTGAGTTTACACACAAAGTCAATGCAAAGACGCGTAGAGCCGTGATTTCCTGTCGGGCAGCGCGAAGGCCTTCGCGTGAGTTGAAAATTTCCAACTCGAGCAAATTTTTGCGGGTTCTAATCGTGTCGTGAGGATTAAATTCGCGTTTGGTCTGAAAGCACCATTAGGCTGGCCACAATAAAAGGCCACTCGAAAATGTCGGTCGGTCGGTTTGCATAACCAAAGAATTTCTGCACAAACTGTCAGGAACCATGTCAGGGAAGCTCATCTGCATGCTCGTCGTCCTCATCGGGGTCTCACCCAGACTGCCGTTTGTTGTCGTAACCGACTTGAGTGGGCAAATGCTCACATTCGATGGCGTCTGGCACTTTGGAGAAGTGTTCTCTTCATGGATGAAGAGATGGGGTCGTGTGGGTGAGCTTTTTGCTGATGTCAACATTGTGGATTGAGTGGGCCACAGTGGAGGTGGGGTTACGGTATGGGCAGGCGTGTGTTATGGACAACGAACACAGGTGCATTTTATTAATGGCTTTTTGAATGCACAGAGATACTGTGACGAGATCCTGAGGCCCATTATTTTGCCATTCATCCACGACCATCACCTCGTGTTGCAGCATGATAATGGACAGCCCCATGTTGCGTGGATCTGTACACAATTCCTGGAAGTTGAAAACATCCCAGTTCTTGCATACTCACCGGACATGTCACCGATTGAGCATGTTTGGGATGCTGTGGATCGGAGTATACGACAGTGTGTTCCAGGTCCTGCCAATAGTGCTCACTAACAGATTTTGACAGTTTTGTGAACAATATTTGAGAGAAATAGGCCTTTTGTGTACATAGAGAAAGTCTTGGATTAAAACAAAAGTGTTGCGATTATAATTTTGTTCAGTGTAGTTAAGAGCAGCATCTTTGCAACAGTACATAATACAAAACATACAACATTCACATATGTGCACATTTGAAAACCCCATAAAGGAACCTACAGGGAGTTTAAAAGTCAGTCCGTAAAAAACAGTACACATTTCTGCGAATACTACACTAACGTTCAGCACACATGTTTTTTAATGTTGAAAACATTTCATGCTCACTACTTAACCCATTTAAAACGGGGTGTGTGAGTAGATGGTACACACAGAGGAGAGGCTTCGTCATTAAAACATCAGTTACGCACATCATTACAATCTCACAGTGTCTAATCTTTGTTAAAACGTTGTTTGTGTCAAGGTGAACAAGAACTTTGCCATCAAATTGGTGGCAGAGGAGCCAGTGACTGAGATTGAGGCCAGAGTGGTGTCCTGTGATGGAGGTGGAGGAGCCTTGGGCCACCCCAAAGTCTACATCAACCTGGTAAGATCGTGTCCTGCACACACACTCATGATGAAATCCTTTAAAGTGGTCCATTTTGACAAAACCTGAAATGTCCAGACAATGTCTTGATCAGTCATTCTGTGTCATTGGGCTATTTAATGTTTGTTTACCAGCAGTCAATACTTTGGTTACTGTTAATCAGATTGAAGTGTCCATGTGGTTTAATTCAGCACATGTTTGTTAGGTTTAGTTGTATTTATTTAGCTGGTTTACTTGAGACCCAGTCATCTCGGTCAGAGGAAATGTTAGATCATTTAAGTCTGATTGCAGGAATACAGTCAAATGCATGAACAGTATTGTTATCAGTGATATCCCAAGACAGAAAGTGCCAGTACTCTGATTAAAGAAACTGTGTTTCTCGTTCATGTAACGTTTTTGTTTTTTTAATTGGGTACTAGTTACTTGAGTGCATGTAAATGTATAACCTTGGGACATGTATTATCTGAGTGAATGACCTTAGTAAGGTGGTTCCAAAGCAAAAGAAATGGAAGAATGCTCTCACTTTAATAATGAAGTTGTATCAAGTCATGTGAACATGGAAGGTGGCCTTACACTGACAAGATCAGTTGTAATGTTTTTATGTTTTCTATAGCTGGTGTATTCCTATAGTAAAGATACCATTATTTTCTTGTCGCTTTTACTCCAGGATAAAGACACAAAAGTGGGAACGTGTGGCTACTGCGGATTACAATTCAAGCAGAAGCATCATCACTGAAACATTTCCTCTGTCTTTGCTTCTCTGTATAAATTGCCATATTGGTTAATAAATTATATCTTGTCTGTCTGTCTGAGAGTGCATTCTTATTGAAGCCTGTTAAAGTCAATAATGCAACATATCTGTTGTCTGTAACTACATACTCTATACCGTTTGTGCACAATGCATCCGCAATTAAGGGAATACGTACAAATGTTACTTCCAATGGTTGTGTTTTTTTAAGCGTACACATTTCATCTATCTATGGGATTGTAAGTGCAGTGGTGTAATTCTTGGCTTTGTTATCCATTTTGAATTGCTGTATGCAGTTCCCAGCTGTAACAGGTAGATGTCAGCCATGGCCTGCAGATGTGTTTGGTCTGGTACGGCAAGACAATGAAAGGCTTTTAAGTACAGAAATAAAAGCAGAGTTGTAGACATTATTTTCTATTGCCCAAACCAAAGCTTTTTTTTTTTTTTTAGAAAAGACACAAACGGTTTGTATGCAATAAAGCTTGTAATTGGTCTGAACTAAAATAAGAGCAGATGAAAGTTGCACTGTAGCTTAAAAATGTCACATGCTCCATTGTTGTCTGCGTGAGTAAGATTTATGCATCTTGGAATACATGAATAACCAATGGCTTGCGATTGCAGTGCTATGAACTTGCTTTTATCAATAAGCTGGCAAGATGTGGCTCGTCTCTGCTGTTTACTGTGAGGAGCACCGAGAGAACCTTAGCATTCCTTGTGCATCAGCCCCACACAGTCTGCGCTGTAGAGTCTCGCTCTGCCAAGCCTGGAAGACATCAGGAGGGAGCCAGCCTGATAAGACACAGTAGTGCGGAACAATACATGTTTGAAGAAGATCATATATATATTTCATCAGGCTTATTCTCCATAGACCTCTGCATGCCAAATTGGCCTGCGCTTGGCTCAGGCTCCAGACAGCACTAGCCTGTTCTGTCCCCAGTGATGCAGCCAGTGGAACTGCATTTTCCACACCATAGAGCTCAGGTTGGGAGGAGTAGTCAGGCTGATATAATTGGCCCTGGTGACTCCTGGAAGTAAGGCTTATGCTGTAGTTAACCTCATCTATAGTCAGACCACTTTGGATGATTGAAGGGGAGAGAGGTGCGTTGTTAAAATAGGCAGGCGAGCCGGGTCACTGTCAGAGAGCTGACTGGTTGGTCTTGCGGTTGGTAAGTCTGAGTGGTTCAGAGGTGGTGGTTGGTTGAGTTGGAGGCATCGCCGGGGGCAAAATCTTCAGATGAAACTGAGCATATGAATTGTGCTGAATTAAATAGCCCTATGTTTTGTGCTGGATTTAACTGCACTGTTAGATTATTCACTGCTCTTAAATGCACCCACCAGCATAATAGAATAATTCTTTAACATAATATATATCAAGAAACTTGAGATTGTAAAGTGGGATTCAACCAATTTGCAGATGGACTCACTCACAGGTTCAACCTTAAACTGTCAAATCACCAGATGTCTACATCCAGTTCTTTCTGCATAATATTAAATAATGTTTGCAAATGCCACTCTTAAGCATAATGTGACCTGCACTATTGGGTCAGACCACTCAAACAAAGATAGAGTCAAATGAGAACATAATTATATTGGAAATATCCTCGCTACTGAGCTACACAATAGATGATGGAGTTAAATGCTGGTGAATTCCTTAACACACAGCGCCCCTCCACAACAATCACTCACTCTACACAAAACATCCTCCTTGTCGCTGTAATGGCCCTATTAAAATATTTCTCGTTGAAGATGTGTCATATTACAGACCCTCAGGCTCATTATGGAGCTCCCTGCAGCCAATTATCTGAACCTCCATGTCTGGAAGCCACTGTGACCAAAAGGAGCTCACAGGCAGATCTGGGAGCTGCCCGTCCTCCTCAAATGCGTACTTACTGTATGAGAGGCGAAACAGAAAGCTGACCTTTGGTCAATGTCTCGGGGCGACTCCACTCAGCTCCACTTTAGAGTCAGGTGACAGAGCTTCTGACCTTTACCATGGAAATAATGACTTGTTCTTGTGCCAGGAGCTCAGAGGGTTACTGCAGGGAGCAAGACACCTCTGGCGACATGTGACAGTTTTTGGAGGAGAGAGTTTGCACTCAGCACTTTGATAGCCCTGGAAACCAAAGTGTGTGTGACAAGACGCAAGAGACTTAGAAATGTGTGTATATATACGGCTGTGTGTGTGTGTGTGTGTGCGTGCGTGCATGTGTGTGTTTTTAAGTATGCGACAGAGACACAGACAGTGTTGAAAGGAAATAGGTGTCAGACGGAGGGTGGAGAGAGGAGCAATTTGAAGTTGTCAATACTTCCTGTGCAGACATTCCATTGGAACATTTAAAAGTAGAAGTGATTCAGAAAAAGGATCACTGAGTATAGACTAAATCAATAATATGATCAATTAATTTAAGCAAACCATTCATGGGTTACTTTTCTGCATTAAAGTCCTTTGCCTATCACCCACTGTGTGGGCCAAATAACTCCTGGTGGTGTGAGCCAGACAAGTAAACAGTGGGTCTAACATTCCCTGAACTGTACAGCTACACACTGAGGCTTAATCACATTATATGGCCCAGGGAGCAGGCCTCCGTGTCAGACCTGTGTGTCGAGAGCAGACAGAAGTGAGGTGAGATGAGTGGGGGGAAGGAGAGAGAGAGGCGGGGTATGGAGGATGGGGAATGAGAATGAGATGTGGGAACTAAACAAGGAAGAAGAGAAAACAGGAAAGGGGGGAAAAGTGTGAGAGGTCAGTGGAGGACGATGGAGAACGTGAAAAAGTGAGGCGAGAGAGACGATGGAGGGTAAATCTCACAAGAGGACAACAATCTTCATATTCCCAGTTTGTTTAATTTGTTTAAGAGCTTCACAAATTTTAAAGGTCACAAAACCCTTTTTACACTTAACACATTCTCCATGAGAAATTTGGAAGATGTGTGGTATAATTTAATCATTAACATTCAAGAGCAGATTTGTTTTAATTTAAGCTGACTCCTTGGATTTTAAAATGTCCAATTTAAAATGTTTGTGTTTAGTCAGGTAGCAATAAAGGTAGCAATTTCACTATTTACTAATAAAGATAGTAAATCTTCTGCAAACAGAGTGAGATAATCACTCCCTATGCAGAACACTTTAACAAGGGTCAGGAATTCTCTTAAAGTGGCTATGGGTCAATAGTTTTATCCTAGTAATGGATGAAATTAGCATGTTTAATGAAAAGTTTCACTCATAATGATGAGCCCACAGAAAATAATCACTCGTTGCTCCCCTCTGCTATTCAGAGATTTATAACGTCTTTCAACTCATTGTTTTGGACAGCAACGTTAGTGACTAGCTGGTGAACACAGAGGAGCACATAGCAGCTAAAAATACAGACGTTGTTGGCGACCAAAAATAGAACTGAAAGGAGAGTGAGTATTGAACATAGATTCACCAGGTTGCCAGAGACATGACACTAAATGAATGATGATGTTGTTCCATGTCTGCTGGATGTGTAAATAGGCAACTTCTAACAGGTTCTCTATATCATCTTAAAAGTGATAATACAGTGCGGGCAGATCGTTTCCACTGCCCTCAAGCTTTACCGTTCAAGTTATGCCTGCACTGACTTTAAAATATAAAGCTAAACCAATAATTTTAGTTGATGAAAAACAGAAAAGGGTGGAACGCTGGGACTCTGAAAACAAGTGAAAATGGACAGTGAACTTTTTGAATTAAAGTTAGATCAGATTTAATGCACAAGACTAAACTGTAGTGTATATATACTTTTGCAGTTTTCCCATGGTCTGCGCCCAAGAAGCCTCAAACAGCTATGGGTGAGAATAAGTATAACTGTATATCTCTTAACTCCACTCTGGGTCAACCTCTAATCTGACTGCCATTCCATTTCTGTCATGACTCCACCACCTCCTCTTTTGAAGTCAAATCCAACTCAAGATTTTTAAAGGAAACAGAATTGTATCATTTCTAGTACTTTAAACTTAGATAGAAAAAATAAATCGCAAAACTATAAAAAATATATTTGCAGCCAACCACAGTGAGATCCTGTCGGACAGCAAGCGGAAGAAAGAAAACTTTTCAGAAATAAGAAGTCAGATGTCATTATTTATCATCTTAAATCTTACTTATTTATGAGGCAGAAACAGAATGAAATTCTCAGTTGAATTCATCCTGAATTATTTAATTCAAACTGGTTAATTCCATACAAAGCCCAGGAAGATCCCTCCTCTGTTCTGATAAATACTTTATCACACTTCCTAAATCGAAAAACAGGAGGAGGAGGAAGATGGGGGTGAAAAAAATTACTTGTTTCTTGTTGTGCTTTCTTTAAGATTGGTTTAAATGTTTTCAGGGCTAAATTTGTGATGTTTTCTTTAATAATTTAAGTTAATGGAAAAACATAAAACATTTAGGCCTAATGCCTGCCTTATTTTGTTTCAATGATATTTCTTATTATTGGTTGTACGAAAAAATCACCGAAGTGGATAAAGATGTGACACTTACTTAAAATTACGTTTTATGAAGCATTTTGCGCGTGGTGGAGTGTCTTGCAGTCCCGGGTTGACAAAGTCAAAAGCTGCCTAATGAAAAGGGACGCATCGCTGATTGCAGCTATATCTGGAGCCGAGGTGGAAGTGGCATCGATTTAACAATTTAGCAGCACCCTCCTCTGTGTGTTTCCATTAGTCACGGCTGAATACCACCCACTCCCCTCTTTCACTCCCTCTAAACACACACACACGCACACACAGACACATATCCAAGGCTGCGGTGATATATTCCACTTCTCCTGAACGGAATTTACATCATCTAAACCGATACCAGAGGTTGCAGCACAGTGGACAGCTAATGTAAGGGCACACTCAGAGAACTTTGCCATGCTATGTAATACACCTTTTATTTTTGTGACTCAGTGCTTGTGCAGGCTATAGTGCAAGTGTACAATATTGTATATTTTTCATGTGTATGAACCATACAACCTTGCTGCAGGAACGTGTGTGGTGACACTTGTTTGCTGTAAGACATTTGATCATTTATGGAGCTCATAAGAGTTTTTAAGTTGGTAGAGAGTTTGGGCCTGTCCAAACGCCAAAACAGGATCATAAATTGTTAATTGACCGTTCGCTAAACCCCTACCCGGACAACAATTGCCCAGTCATAGCTTAGCAACCATAACTGGGCACACCAGATCTATCAAACTTTGGATTGTAGGAGTAATACTCTGCATTGAAAGTGTTAGTCTTTTATTCAAACTTTTCCAAAACCAGAAGAGCAAAAGTTTAAGAAATAGATTAAACATTGTGTTTGTCTGGTCTAATGGAGGCTGCAGTCATTACCAGGTCTGGCTAACTAGCTTACTGCCTACAGTCATCAACCAGAACCTCCAAAGCCAAGGAGCACATCATAAACTATTTCGTTAAATACATTATCTGTGGGGTTACAATGTTACGTTACACGAAAGCACACCCACTGTGTAGAATTGTGTGGAAGTCAATCCTGGATGCTATAAAGAGTTTTGGCTAATGTTAGTTGCTCTGTCCTGCTATTTACTGGTTTTGACAAAGTTTACTCAGCAACCTGAGCCACTGTTACCTGAGATAGAGGTGACTTTTTTTGCCTGGTACATGAAGCTTTAGCTTCAGTCTGCTAGCTCAATATCATATATGTAGCCAACAAGTGCATATTTAAGACCTCTTTTACAAGATACAGCTGTCAAGTTTAAAAGTCAGCCAGAGTCAGGTTTTCTAATAAATTCATTTATACAACATTAGCTTAATTAATAAGCTAGCTAGAGATAATAAAATCTGCCACCAATGGTTGTTGGCTAGAAATTAAAAGCCTTCTTTCATCGGCCTCAGTCTGGAATCAATCAACGACCTATTGTTTAAATTCCCATTGCTCAATCTGCCACTGTTATCATTGTAAACTACATGTGCTGTGGGAGAATGAAAAGCTTGATGGGGTAGCAACAGTAAGGTGGCGCTTAGCAAACGGTCAATTGGTAAAGTCACAACAGCAAAATATAGACTTTTTGTTTTATGTCCAGCAGTCTTTGAAATATTCCGTTGAAAATGTGGTGGTCGGACTACAAAGATGACGTAGACCTAACAAGTTCAAGGGATTGTCTGGGTGTTCTGCTGTCCATCACGGCATCATTTAAGCCTTTCCACACCCCCGCTGGTTTGGGCTGTTGGAAAGGAAGACCATGGAAAACTCCGTCCACCCATTCTCTGAGCGTGGCAACTGGTGATTCCTGTTGCCTGTCTGCCTTTGTTAGTGCCATACTTGATGGATACCCAGGAGAGGAGGACCTGGTCGACGCCAGCATACAAGGAGGGTAATCTGGCTGCAAGCTGGCATCCAAAGATGCAGCAGTGTGAGCGATGGACCAAATTTTGGGCTTGTTGTCTGTACTTCGAAGATCTGGATTAGGATAGAAGCCGCTGTTTTGCTGTTGGACCATTGTGAGTTTGGGGCAGTCTGAGCACAATCTCTCTTTTCCGTGCAATGGGTCTAGGTTGTGTGTGAGATGCCCACGTGGGAGGTCAGTGTCTGGATTTGCATCATGGTCCTCTGAAAGAAACTGTGGCTTTGGTTCACAGTCAGAGCCATCTGACTCCAGCAGGTCGAAGTCCTCAAGGTCACTCTGCAGGTCTGCACACTGTCGATCTGCAATTACAAATGACACAGATAAAACTAAGTCTGTGCATGCTAGTTAAACTTTGAAACAAGCTCAATGTGCTGACAGATTGATTTAGGCTCTGCTTACCAGGAAGGTCTTTGTCATTTTTAAGTGGCTTTTCAGCTTCATCACTGTCATCATCACATCCCCGGTCATCAGAGCTTTTACAAGCCCGTGGTGACCACGTCACCTTGTTCTCCTTCTTTAGCCTCCTGCGTGCATTTGCAAACCAAGTAGACACCTGAGGAAGGAAAGGAATGGAGATCAGAAAGTAACATAAAGTCATTTGAACAGGAGAAGGAAGGAAATTATACAGGATTGAAGGAAAGACAAGGGAAGGAAAGGGCAAAACATTGAATAGAAGGAATGAAAGAAGGGAAAACATGAAGGTATAAGAGAAAGTGTGATATATGTAAAGCAAACATGAAGAAGGGCAAAGCATTTAATACCGGAAATGAATTAAGGGCAAGCTGCCCGTTAACAGGCAAATTGACAATACATTGACAATAGTTTGCTAAAACCTACCTGTGTGAGGGTCATCCTGGTGATGATAGCAAGCATTATCTTCTCTCCCTTTGTGGGATAAGGATTCTTCTGGTGTTCCTGCAGCCAAGCCTTCAGGGTGCTGGTCGTCTCTCGGGTGGCATTTTTACGACGGGAAGCGCCGTCAGAGCAGGAATACCTGAGCCAAATGGTGACAATTCAAATAATATTTCGCAATGTCGTACCAAAAATAAGTGAATCACATTTGCTTTAAAGGACAGCCTCCCTTATTTATGAGTAACTATTGACTTTAAATCATATTTTAATGATGTCTAAAGAGAGACCATATCATAAAGAAAAACATACATCTAACTTTATAACAGTTCCAGACACTAAATCCCAGTAAGGATATTATAGTTAGTGTAATACTTACATAATGATGCCAAGACATAAAAGAATATGAGATCACTACAAACTTGCTACAGACACACTAGGAATATTTTTCATCAGGGAGTCAGCAGTCATAAGTGGAGGATGACTGATGTTATATATATATTGATATTACAGTTTTGAAATGAGAAAATATGGTTTAACTTGAAGGCAATAAAAGCACTTTCTCAATATGCAGACTTTGACTTACCCATATCTGTCATAAGGATATTGTCCAAATGTATAGTCATAGGGATAGTAGGCAGGAGTCTGAGATGTCCCCACATGCACAGATCCCAATCCATCTTTGGGATCTAGTGGCCCCTGAAAACAGTGGTAAATAACTGACATAAATATTTGCTAAAAATTCCAGGATTTTTTCACAGGAATGCACTGTGATACTAGACATGGCTTTAGCCTGAATTTACCTTGTTTACTTTTTTACTTTAATGTCATATGAGTATAAGATTCACAAATTCTGTTCAGTATTCAAAACATTACAGGGTCACTTTTTCAACCTTTCTAATGCAATGTTATCATTAATTAATGTAGGCTATCTGTTTGTTAGGGCTAGGGTCTGTACATTGCAGTATTGACAATTGTATTTCTGTGTCTTATTTTGTCACTCCTCTGTTGTTATGTAGTGATTGTGATATATGTTGGGATCCCTTCGAAAACAAGATGGTACATCTGAAAGGATTTATCCTAATAAATACAAGTAAACAAACAAAGGTATGTGCGCATTGGCGCATTTTAAATAAAAGCAAAGTTATTGTAATAATGAGCTGTAAGTGAAATGTGAAACTCACTCTGGAATAGAGAGCGGTGGCGTCGCTGGTGCAGGTGTTATAGTAACCTTGGCTCTTTGGATAAGGGCCGCTGTAGACGCCAATGCCGGCGCCAGGGGTGAGCTGGTGGCCCGGCGAGCGCAGCACCGGGTGTGACGGAGGCGTTCCGGGCTCCAGACAACCAGCCAGAGAGCTGGAGGTCATCAGAAACTTTGGCAAGAAAAATTGCAAAATGAACCTTATTTCTACCATTAGATTATAAGTGAGAAAGATAGTGAAGGGTATTTTTCACACAGCTGATAGATAGTTTTAAAAAAATAGTATTTAAAAATGCCCAGAGTACAAATACTGCCGTGCTGCTCACTGATTTTGTCACATTTTGTAAAGAAAACAAGTGACTTGTTCATGGAACATTTGTAGAAGTCCATAATTTATCATCAACAATAACTTTAAAGAAAAAAAATACTGACTGTACCTGCGGTGTGGTGGAGTATGAGTATCCCAGCGGAGAGTAAGCCATGGCTCAAATAAGATAAAAGAGACAAAAGCAGGAGCGCAGAGCCGGGCGACATCCAACAGCATCCGTGCCGAGGGTAGACTTTTGCCTCTGATACTAGTTCAGACCTAGTTTGCCTGGCAACTTTTCAGGTTTTAAAATTTGGATCTACCACCTTATCCAAATGGGGGCGCGCAGACATTTACGCACATTTTACGCACCACGATTAACAGCCTTTATAAGTAACTTCTTGGCGTTCCTTGCAGTTCCGCTAAATTCACTTTAGCTGCTGCAGCTTTTACAGTATCCCTGCTGCCTCCAAAGCGAGTGTGATCAAACCATCTCCCTGTGATGCGCTCTTTGGTTTTATGGCGCGTCTCTCTGACGTCAGCCCGGACTCCGTGTGTGTCTCCGGTGTTCATATCAAGATGAGGAAACTCACCTAATTAATTCCCTCCCAGTTTTCTTTCAGTTATTCTGCAGGAAAACAGCCCCACGCAAGCGCAAGTGCAACCCCCCCAAAAGTCCCCAGGCGTAATGAGAATGTGATCAATTGTCCTTTCCAAATAAACACACACACAGCTGCATTCATCCACATACACAACGCACTCTTACACACACCCTGCTATGGCCAGAGGGGGGATCAGGAACGTGATGTCTTGACACCACATTGACATAAGATGATTGATGACTACAACCTGATATTAGCATAATCGTTTTGCCCTGTAGTTTAGATAACTTGTCAGTATGGAGAAATCTCCCTGTCATGCACATATTCATGAGTGGGGAAAATTCAGGTCTCCTCCAAGCAAATTAATCAAAGAATAAACACTCTCTGCATTCCCTTGAGTAAGCACCTTTAGCAACTGAATGGGTTGTCATGTTTTTAATAACAGTCTTTAGCCATCCTGGTGAAGTGGAAACATTTCTCTCATTTCTTCTCAAACCACCTTTTGATCTTTATTCATTCTTTATAAGGTAGGATGAAGACTAGGGCAAGAGTAAAAAGGATGGGGGAGGGAAATGTTGGAGGAGTTTGTCATGTTAGAAAAAAAAGGATATGTTTGTGATAAAATGGCAAAGGTAAACAGTTTTAAACCCCTTCTCATTCTCAGGTCGTCAAACACCAACGCTTTGTCATGCCCATCTCATAAAAATACACAGGGTTCCCTTTAGCATCTGTATGAGACGCCTTTAGAAACTAGGTAGGTTAGGTAGTAGGAAGTCATGTGATGGAACATAATATAAAATTTTGGTTAGGTTTAGGTAACATTACTTTATGTCACTACTTGGTGACATATGTTAGTGAAGTTGTACCTAACCAAGTAGTAATGTGTGGTAGCATAACGTAACATAACTGAGAACTTTAAATAAGTCAACATTGATTTTGGTTTCACACGGGACATGAACCCTAGTGTCTTGGGTAAAAGACCAGTGTTTGTTTGACTAGTACATCCACCCCAAAACCTCCTCTGGTAGACTTTCACACTCTTTATCTGTCTTTATACTAGACAGACCACAGTGTTAGCCTAACCTTAACCAAGAGAGCCAAGAGTGCCTAAACATAACTATAAAAAAGTGTGAAGAAAAAATAATGCTGTAGTCACTACAAGTGGCTACTGTATTAAATTTTATTAAATATTTTAATGGAACCAAGATTTTGCTCATATTGATTTTTTCGACATCCTCGATTAAACAAACAATAATTCGTCATTATGTTAATAGAAAAAGTAATCCTGTCAGCTTTGGTTACTTAAAAACATTTTGCTCTTGCAAATTAGTTGTATATAAACAATTTCTAGGTGACCGTGTTGCAGATATTTATAATATTAAGTCCATCATTGCCACAGTTTTCAAGTTCACTCATTCTGTAGTTATAATAACTGTTTAATTAGCAGTTTTTGCAGTCTTTGGTGTGTTTTTTATAAATATATTATTTAGAGATATTGGTGTATTGTGGCGCAAAGAAATTATTGATAATGTTGGGGAGGTTCTACCTTTTTTTATAAAATGAAGAATCATCCCTCCTCCCCACCCTAATCGTTTTTGTACAGCCCCTAATATTGGAGGAAATGAGAAATCCATAAGAGGTTATGGGGAAAAAGAAGAAATAGGCGACAAAAGGTTGGTTGGATAAGAAACTTTATGTGCATTAAATCCAACATCAAATGAATGTGGGAAGGAGGGAAAGCCTAAAGAAGCAAACTTGGGGAGCAAGGAGGAAATCGTTAATAGTCAGGGGATCTGAAATGGAGCGAGGGGATGTGGAGGGGAAAAAGGACAAAATATTCCCAGTGCACCCAGAGTAGGGCTGGAACAACAGAGCTGCATCACCAGAAAGCATCTCGGGCCCCACCGGGGAGAAAGCATCTGTGTACCAGCGCTTGATTGACATTCCATTTGTCCCGCGAAAGGTGCTCATATACTGAACACGGACTAACTGTCTCTCCCTCATCTGTGCTCAAAGATTGGAAATGAAGTTATCTCCCCACGCTGGCGTTGCACATCTTCACACAAAACATATGTCACTCACAGAGAATGGCAATTTGTTTAGCCTCTGACAATGAACATGACTCTGTTTAATCTCGGTTCCATGTAGTTCATGGGGAAAATAACTTGCAGTGTTGAACTTCCAAGCTTTTGTTACCTTCTTCCTGGATAAAAAGAATGAATATAACACATGCATTGTACATGGAGGGTGCATAGATTATGTTATTTCCCTCTTTTTGAATATTCAATTCACTGCTTATATATTAATATATAATGTGTTTATATATTTATGGAATTCCTCCAGTATGTATTTCTTAAGGCTCTGCGTTCGTTAGACCGTGATTATATCTTTCTGATCTTACTCCCCTAACATCAATCATTCATTCAAGATGCTCCTCAAGAAAAAAAAGAAGAAAGGAAATGTTCTTATTCTCTCCTTCCTGCATCCAACTCTAGCTATTATGCAGTAGGTGGGGCACGGGGGTTAATGATAGAAGCATGTTAATACGAGAGGAGGAGGGCCAGGCAGTGCAGAAAGTGTTTGGAAGAGAGGGACAAACAACCCCAATCACAAGTTCTTTCAATCACAGTGCGCCGCATTTGAATATTTTCTACCTTAAAGTCTGAAATCTATGCAATTTTAATCGCTGTTTAACATGTAGATGCTTTTTGAGCCACCTTGAAAAATAGCTAAGTGGGTGGTGCTGAAGGGCCCAAACTGAAGTGAGAAGGTTTCTGACAACCAGAGTGAAAACATTACCATTTCTTGAGGCTCTTTTGGATGAGGCAATATTAGTCCAGTTGGAGAGGAAATAGTTTTGTGTACCTCCTGGTTAAAAAAATTATTTTTCATATCTGTTATGAGGCTATAGCCAGCAGCTGGTTCGCTTAGCTTAGAATAAAGACTATAAACAGGGAAACAGTGTGCTGTTTCCTATCAGCACTTTTTAACAGCTCAATAATTAAAAATTTGTTTAATCTTTTCAAAAATGCAAAAAATATTCCCACATTTACTCATTATTCCAAGGTGGTTGGCCCACCGCTAGCCTTGTTGTCACATTATTTAAATAGCCAAAATTTACGGATTTTGGATAATTTAGAGCAGCGTAAATAACTTACAGCTCATTATTACAATAACTTTGCTTTTATTTAAAGACCATACTCTTTGTAATATTATTTACAGAGACCCAACAGTTCCCCCCATGAGCAAACACTTAGCCACAGTGGCAAGGAAAAACTCCCTTTAACATGAACAAATCTCGAGCAGAACCAAGACTCAGGTTGGGCGGCAAACTGCCTCGACCGGTTGGGTTGAGACAGAGAGAGGGAGAGTGGGGGAAGAAAGAGAGAGAGGGGGTGGGTAAAGAAGCTATCGTCGCTGTCAGAAATGTTCATTGTCGGCATTTCAGAAAAAGAAGTTGGAGACTGACGTGAACAGTTTTTCGCACTTCGTTGCTTGTAATTATATTTTCAACAAAATGACATGGGGCATTATGTGGAGTCTGCGCTCAGAGACAAATGCTCAACAAAGAAACAGTTGCAGGCCCTAACCAAATAACAAACGTTTTTACAATTTGGTTGTTGTACCGATATTGCATTAATTGGTGAGCTTTAGATTTGCTTGTAGTTTGATTTTGTTACCTTTGGACAGAGCCAGGCTAGCTGTTTCCCCGTTTCCAGTCCTTGTGCTAAGCTAAGCTAAACGGCTGTTGGCTGTAGCTGTATTTTTACTGGACAGATATGAGATCTTTTCTCATCCGGCTCTCGGCAAGAAAGTCAATAAAAGCATTTCCCCAAGTGTCAAACTATTTCTCTAACATCCACTTTATGAAACTGACAACAACAAAAGATAAGAAAGTTATTCACATAGTATTTGTGTGCTATGGGATCTTCCTTATGAAACTTTGTTAACACAGCTTTCTTAAGATGTTTCAAAGTGAAGAGAAACAAAATGAGGAGAAAAGTCGATTCCATGCAAGACTTGCTCTGCTCACAGTGTTCGACCATCAGACAAATGAACACAGGGGTAACACGAGGTAGCTTTCCCACCTTTTTTCAAGCCTCTGCTCTCTGAGAATAAGGGATACTCAGAGAGAAAGAAGAGGACAGAGGAGGACAAGCAATAAATGGATCATGAGGAAAGAAAACAGCCCTTCCTTTCCACCACAAGACACTGCCTCTTGTTAAGCACAATAGCGCCAACCGAGTACAAGCGCAAACTGGGCTTGATCTGATCCACAAACAAGGCTGCCAACACCGAGTACCTGTCTGACCACTGAGCAGCAGCCATGCTATCTGCTCCTGTCTAATAAGAGCCTCATGGAGGTTCTGGAGCGACTGAACTCTGAGTGAGATACTATAAATGCCCTGGTCTTCCTCATCAATGATGTAGGACACGGGAACAGAGACAAGCTAACCCTCTTAGCCACTGTGCAGTACGTGCGTGCAAGTGTGTGCGTGAAAGAAGTGGACGGAGACAGACAGAGGCAGAGAGGGAGACAGGTTTAGGCTACAGGCAGCTCTTAAGAGTGTGTACAGTTTGCGTTGAGCCCTGGGAGGCCAGCCGTATTCCTCCCTATCACTTCCACTTCATTACTCCGGCAGCGGACATGCATTATTCAGCTCTTCAAGCCTCAGTCCACAGGGACCAATAGAGCCTTTAACAAACACTTTAACCTATCTTAACTCTCTCACAGATCCTCTGTGTTACCCTATCTGTTTATTGTTCCTCTCTTTTGGACTTTCTTGATTTCTGTTCATTTATATTCTCTCTCTGCTCCTATAACTATATTTTTTAACCTATTTTCT